TCCCCCCAACTCTAACGACTTCAGATGCATTGCGAAGAGGTCGGAGATTGTCCTGGAACACCACGGCCGCTCGCTTTCGCGGTTCCACCCGATACAAACCGCGCTGACGCAAAGGGACCGTTCAGTGTGGCATCCGCGCACTGTCTAGCCGAATTCTCCCAGGTTTACACGCCCGCAACTCTACAATTGAACGGCTCCCACAGGCACGCCCTTCTAGACGCCGCGTGCCTTCTGTCGGAAACCAGAAGTCGGCGGAGCGGAGGTGAGGAAGCCCCCCGCGTCCCGTGGAGGGCGTCATACATGGGCAAGACTGATTCTGTTCTCTCTGATTTAGATCAGGCCCGGCACATGCAATCAGCTTCGCCAGGGCCCCCGAAATGAATAGCGGGGCGCATACGGTGTGGTTAGCCTTCGAGGGCCCGGAAACAAGCCGCCGCGGGCTGGATATTCGCGCTCGCGGAACACGAGCCGGCGGCTGCTCAGCTGCACATTCAACATTCCGCGCGTAGATCGTGAAGTACGTGAAGCACCGGGACGCAGTCCCGGAGTGTCCAACTCGCTACGGACGCGCTGATGCGCGCAGGAACCACGCACGTATAGCTATCGCGCTTCACTTCTCCCGATATCGTGCCTGCGCCTTCCTGCCGTCGGTTCGCGCAGCGGCAGTCCTGCACGAGCACGGTACGCCCGTCCCGACACCATTGCACGACATGATGCGACGTTCTGACCATCGCATCCTCACCACAGGCGGCGAATGTTCATCACTGCGACGTCTGATGCCTCCACCAGCGTCCACACATACCGAGCGTGCAGCAGACGCCCAGGAAGCGCCAGGGCGAGCGCGCGCCAGGCTGAACGGATGATAGAGGTGTGCCGCCGCGGTGACATTGACAGACTGGGATCGCGGCGCTGATCCTGCGCCTTCGCATGCCGCCATCGCTCCCGCCTCAAGGCGAAGGCCCAGGGTCGAGGACAGATGTAGGTCCCCTCGGCCGGCGCTCCGGCGCCGCAGGCGATGCCTTTGCACGCCGGCCGGGCGCTCCCCGTCGCGGACATTGTTTCCTGCCAGCGCCGGGACGGAAACTGAATTGCACGCCGCACGCCGCACCGAGTCCGGCCGGCGCGCCGCTCCGGCTCCGCCGCCCGGTCCCTCATTCGCACTGCAGAGTGCAGAACGGCTGGGGTCGCGCCGCGCTCGCGATTCGCGAAGACACAAGGGGACGCGGGCACACTGTCCTGGGAGGCCGTATGATGTCCGCAGGGGCCTTATGACAAGAGAACACCTCAGGACGGCCCACGCCTCAAGGCCCAGGGGACACCTTATACTCCGCGGCGCTGGCAGACGATATCGTCCAATGCGCGCCGGTCCGGGCCTTCGCTGGGGGCAGCGCGCGCGGACATTGCGTGCGCGCACACGCCGCTCTTCTGGCGGGAACAATGTCGCACCTGCGCGGCCACGAGGCCGTCCTTCCTTTTGCTCCCCGCTGGGCCTGGGAGGACGCTTGCCCCGAAGTGGGCGATGCACTTGTGTTTGCCTGAATGGGCGGGCGCACGTTGCGGTCATACGCCGTCGAGTCCTCCATTCTGCGATATGTGGTATGCGGCTGCACTGCCTCGTCCGTGCGTCGCTGCCGAGCTTGTGCCTTCTCTGACACTGGCGGCGGCGGCGCAAGCAGACGAGAGCGGGTCATTGTCGCCTTGAAGTGGTACGCTATTGACTACCTATGGGACGTATAAAGCTTGGCAAGAGAGCGCGAGACCCACAGATTGCAGCCGAGATACCATTAGCACCGCAGCCGCCGCCGCCATTCTGGCGTGGACGCAGTGCGGAGGAGAAGGGCGAGTACGCGTCGACAATGTTCTGATACACGCGATTTGTGGGCGCCGTGCGGGGCGGGGCGCACATCCGGCTTCCAGGCAATATGTCGTCGATCGAGAGAGCGAAGAGGCTTCGCGCCGTGATCGTGGCTCGCGTGGTTTTGCCGCACGGCCACCTCGAGGGCGGGTGGAACGCTTCTGGAACGTTTGGACGTCTGACCCTCGTGTTGTCTAAATGTTGAAGATGACGGGGTGACAGACGCGGCGTCAAGAACATTGAGTTGGCGTTCATCTTGCGCTGATACCATACGGCACTGGCGCTTTGGGATATGTATCTGCCTACTGCTGGCGTTTTGAGGAGACGGGTGGAAGGATGGGTGCTGGATCGGGCGTGTATTGTGCACGGAATCGCGCTCGCTTTGCCGTTGCTGTTCGCGAAGTGCATCTTGGGAGCGGTATCTTGAGCATAGTGTGGTAGGAGGCCTCCGCTCCTATAGCAGTCAACTTGGGCACACAGGGGCGATCCCACAGCTTAGGTCCGTTATGAACTCGCCCTCACGGTTTTTCATAGCCCTACTAAAACTCTACAGTATGAAACACGCCTCTCAGACCACATAGGCATGTCCCGCAACACATCACCCAACAACCACTCTTTCGTCAACTCCTGTCCACAAAGCTTCGACCTGAAGGCTCAGAGACGCCTCGTGGTGGCCATCTCAGCATGCATGCTGCAGTAACGGCACCGAACCTAGTTTGGCAAGATAGGATGCCGGAGCGTAAGGTTCCCTGCTACTCACGGTGCGGCGTTGAGCAGTCAGGCTAGCTGCGTTTCCTGCGAGTGGCACCCGGTTTCTTCTTTCTTTGCCTTGAGGCGCGGTTATTTGGCAGCGAAGCCCTTCTGAACCGCACAATCTCCTTTGACCTAGGTCCGAGTACTAGGTGAGCCACTGGTACCGTGCTGGTGGTGTGCCCACATACCTTGTCTTGTAGCACCGCCATCTGAACACGTTTGCAGGTCTCGCGTGCACCTTTGCCCTCTGCGCGACCTGAGGTGCCTATTTGCAAAATCATACGAGTCATCTTACAAGCGAGAGACCCATGGCCTGAAGCTTCTGAAAGCAAACCTTCGGCGTCAGCGCCCAATTATACCGGCATACCCCGCATGCATCATCATTCATGGGCGTAACGAGGGAAGACCCGCCTGTGCCCATCCCCCTGAGGTGCGTTCGTTTACGTCCCGTCCTCTATTGCGGCTGCGCGGGATCCCAGGGAACTCGCCGGTGACCCCCTCGCGCGACGCGGGACGGCGACGTGCACGATACGCTTCAGCCTTCCGCCTCGTGTGTGGGAGAAAGACGTACGGCGGGCCACCACTGGCATAAGTGGCACTGCACATCACGGGAGGGCGGCCGGTGCGCGTGCCCCTCTCCCGCGACGGGCTGCCAGCCACCGCGTGCCCGGCGCCGTCGAGAAGGTCGCGGAGAGCGCGCGGTGTGTCTGTGTGGACGTAGCCGCCGCCCGTGGGTGCATCGATAGCCTTGCGCGCGCGGGGGAGTGCTTCGATGCTGCATGCTGTTGACGTCTTGGGCTGCTCGGCTCGGTGCTCGGGCCCGGTCTGCGTCCATGCGAGGAGTGCGAGGTGCGCGAGCGTGCAGGCTGCACGTACGTGGGCCGAGGCGTCGTCGTCAGTTGGTGTGCTGCTTGTGGACGAGCAGGAGGGCCTGCGTCGATCAGAGTTAATGATCGACTGGCTAGGGTCTGCGATATCTAGATGCAGTATAGTCAGGGACTTACCCCGCGGGCCTTTACGACATGCCTGGCATTGCTTGCGTTTCCGCTGACGTCGCCATCTCCGGTCTGTCTGCGTTCCCGCGCTGTGGTTAGAATCCTAATTTGTGGTCCATGGACCGTGCACGGCACCCTCCGAACGTATTGCATACTCCTAGCTGACCCGCCCGCGTTCGTATTTCGGACGACGCGAGGCACCTCGTTTCCGTGTTCGATCGGACAGAGGGCGCTGTGGATGCATTCTAAGGTGTCGGAGTGCCGGCCTGAACCGGCGACGGAAGAGGCTGACGCAGTGGTGGCATCTCAGGAGGCAGTGGCTTTAACACCTTACAGATCCGGTTACATACTTGCTTCCGCTATGCCAATTGTGAGGTCGCTTGATGGCAGGTATCAAGCTGTAGCAACTAAGACAAGAATGCAGTGGACGCACACGCGACGGGACTATCCCGGAAACATGCAAGGGCACGCACCCCGCGAAGACCGTGCAGAGACCGCCGCCCAAGGTCTTCGGTGCCCATGCATCTCCAACCCTGCAGCGCAGGCTGGACAGCCTCGCGCCGCCGACGCGCCTGCGCAGCACAGTGCGTACCGCTTCTGATATGTCAGTCGGTCACGTAGTGCCATCACGATGATGCATATGCGGCTGCTAACAGAAGGCTCCTGCGCCCCGGGAACAAGCATCGGACGTGCTCGTGCGGCATAAGTGCATGCGCAGCGGCGTTACGTGAGCGCGCGTCGCGAAGCCACAACGTGCACGGCCGGCGGTCGAGCCGCGAGCGGGCGGACAGCCTCCGTGCGCGCGCGTGGGCGAGGGCAGCAGCATTGTGGGACGGGGGGAACGGTCCAGGGAAGCCCGGCGGCCCTTCGCATCAGATGGGACGCGGCGGCGGGCACGTCATGCCTTTCGAGTGGTCGCTGCACACAGACTAAGCCTGGAATGGAGGGGGTGTAGGGAGGAAGTGCGGGAGGCTATGACTCGGCACGCGCATGAGGATCGCAATGGGCGGACAAAAGGAGCGTGCGCTGGGACCCATGATGTGGCTGCGCCGCCGACGCTGGACATAAGCACTAGACAAGACACACGGCGCCATCAGACTGTGTGGTTTGTTTCCGATGGCGCTGTGGACGTCCACACAGAACGAGCTTTAACGGGAAGCCAGGAATGGTTGGGGCGAGGAGAGGTGCTCCGATATCATAGGAATGGGGTGCTTCGTGCCCAGCAGCGATAACACGACGCAGAGAGAGCGGGCGGGGTGGTACTGGTGCCGTGAACGGAGCCGGTCGGTGTACCGCTCGGAGGTAGCGCGGGTTCTAGAGTGTCAAGGTGTTCACTGGACGTATATCCGCCGACAAGTGCGCGATAAGACGAGAGACGGAACCTATAGGCCTGGGGGGTCGAAGCGACGGTAAAATACCCATGCATCCACGTACTCTTCGCCGTCGCCGTCTGCTGTCCTTAGGCGTCCCGCGCGAGGAATGCGACCAGCCTTCTCGAAGTCGAGCGCCTCCCACAGTCTGCAAGGGCCGCGAAACGTGAGCAAGGAATCCTGGAAGTGGATATGGTGTACGAACTTTACGCTGGCGACGTTGTTCACGTATACGAGGTTGAAGACACTGGCCTCATACCCCAATCTAGGGCCATAATGGAGGTAGGATCGTGCGAGGACAGTCCCAATGCCGTGACCTCGTTGCGAGGGAGGTACTAGGAAGCCGGCATTGCAAATCTAGGAGCAAAGACATATGTGAGCACTTTACTGCTGGTAGTATAAGAATCACCTCGAGCGCTCGAGAGCATCACAGCGTTCATGAGACCCATATACACTACGGCTTGACCGTGACGGAGCTGGAGATGGTCCTCCCCCCACCGTCATTGCATTACCTTAATCGTATAGGAGGTCCGGGCGGTAAGTGTGAAGCATCCGCCGGCGTCATCGTCATCTCCTTGATGGGACGGCGTCGCGACGTCCACCAAAACGCCCTAGTCGACCATCCCGAGAAACTGCAAGAATACACCGAGGACGTCTCCGGACCATTACAGCAGAGCAACGCATGCAAGTATTCGCAAGCATAGCGCTACCAGCTCTGAGGATGCCGTTCAATCCCAGAGCTTCCATCTCGGCATAACGGCGTTCAGTCTCAGCGCAACAGCGCAGGGACGGGACTACCGATCGCGTTCATCGCCGAGGAGAGAAGAAGCACAATCGAGGACAGCCGGAAGCGCAATTTGGCTATTACTCACATGCGACGACCGTCCCGGGTAATTCGGCTTCACCTGCATGGTGAGGAAGCGGTCAGCGATAATGATCATCGACTCATCAGGACGCACCCAGGCGGCGCTCGATGCGTCTATTACTCTCGAGCCCCCGCGCGGTGAACGCCCTTCTTCGGGAGTGCACTCACGTAGTAGCAGCCGGCGAGGCACTCTTCCCAAGCGCGGCCGCTCACGGCCTCTGCGAACCCGATCGAGACGATGCTGCCGTCCGGCGCGTCGGCCGCGCTCTCGAAAGTGGGCTGTCCGAGTACCGCGACGAGGACGTCTGCGGCGAAGTAGTACGCGTCGAATTGCTCGCGTGTGTATACTTCGCCGGGCAGAATCTCTTGTGGATAGGTGCGGCCGCCCGCGAGCTCATCCGCGAACGTACGGTGTAGGTAGTCGACGAGCCCCGGGAGCGCTCGCGCGGTTTCGAGGGTGACATGGTGCAGAGTGAGGTGCTTGGGAGCACCTGAGCGTTTGGAGGCGAGTTTCCATGTTGTGGAGGGAAGAGAGGAGGTTGAGCGGGAGGAGATGGCGCCGTACGCGGACATGCTGCGGATGGGCGTTTGCATGAACTTTCTGCCTCTTTGACCTCCACCGTCATGCTCAAAACACTCACGTTTCTGGCTATGTTGGCGACGAGCGGTAGGTACTTGGTAGCAGGTTACTGCTCGGAAGGAACGACGGCTGATCTGAGTGACGATCGAGTCACATCCTGCTCGATGAGGCGGCGGGACTCGGCGGCCTTCCGATCGATCCAGTTGTTAATCCTCTGCGCTGCCCCACCAGTGTCCCAGCAATGTTCTGACATCTATACCAATCATCTTGCTTGATCACTGCTAGGTTCGACACAAACCCCGAACACGTGAGACACGTGAACGGTCTTGGTATAAGACTAGATCACTGCAAGTTCACTCTACAGATGACGCCAATATTCGGTCGATAGTCGGACCATGGTTCCTCAGTGTGGTTGACCTCCGACGTCTCCGGTAATCCGCAATCGACCGGCGCACTAAAAGTTTGAACTCACTTCGTGAAACGACAGCTGGACTCGAAGCAGCCGTACAGCAGTGAAGACGTCAGGTACGGCCTAACGAGCGTTCTATCGAGATATCCGGATAGAAAGCTACGACACGCTTCCTGCGCAGCGTCCGAAGCGGAACCTTGTCAGAGACGTCCAAGACGTCGTGCACTTCTCATGGCTTGTTGTGACAAGATATCTGGATATCGAGGTGAGATCTACGGGTCTTCCATAATTAACAATAATACATATGCTAAACGAATGGCAGTCCGAGCTGCAGTCCCTATGGACAATCACAGATAGTTTTCCTGCTTCGGCAGGAGAGGCTGGTCCCGTCCGAGGCTCACTATAGGAGACCGAGGGCCGAGAGACCTCCCACGGCCGCGGCGCTGAACGCCACAACTTGGGAGGCCGCTCCTAGAGCCGGCAAGGCTCCGGAGTTGGACACCGCGTCAATGGTGCCGTTGATCTGTCATGATGGTCAGTGTATGTTTGGGCGAAGAGGATGCATAAAACGAGACTCACCCCTGCGCACCCCTCAGGGCCCGAACATGCGATATTGTTGTTTTGGGCAATGACGTTCGCTTGTTGGGGGTCTATGGGCGCGGGTGATGCGGAGACTGCGAGACTCCCGGTGAGCACGACTTGCTCAAGTAGATGCGTGTGCGTCGGAGACGTACCAAGAGTGAAGGAGACAGCAAAAACGAGCGTGAGGGTCTGGATGGCGCGTGCGTACATCATGACTTGCGTGATAAGACAGGTGTCGGTTGGTATCGTGGTGAGAGAGGTATATGGATGGACGTGGATGGTAAGGGTACAGTGCCGGGCGTTGAGAGCAGGGAGAGGCTACAGAGAGGTCGGTCAACAAACGAGGATCCTTAAGCCGCTTTCCAGGCTTTTTATCAATTCCAGAGCTCTCTTCTCGTCCGTTACCTTGTATTTAAGCGATGGGAAGGGAACTCAAGCAACGACGGCCAGCGGGACCACTTGACAGGGAGTGCCAAGTCCGGAAGAAAGTGCGGGGCCACGTGTGACGCCCATCTGCTTTGGCGTTTGTCCGTCCTTGCTCGCCACCACGCACTGTTCATTCATCGCCACTGGCTCTCTGCTCGTCCCGATAAATAGCGAATTGAAGGCGAGAACATACCATCTTGAGAGGCGATCACGGTTGGGAGCTTAGAACTTGAAGGCACGGCCGGTGCATACGCTCAGGCTCAAGTGCTGTGTACACAACCGGTAAGTCTGCCCTCCATTCGTGTTTTTACAACATATCTGACAACAAGGAAGATATACAAGAATGCGGAGCCCCGAGTATCTGCCCTTCCCTTCCTTCGACTCATCGCCATGTCGAAATGATGTGCGCCGGGACTTGGCCCGTGAGCGAGAAGAAGGGATGCGGGAGCGCCATCGTTTCCCATTCCTCATCGAAAGCGTGCGATATGCCACCTAGGGTGGGCGTGTGCCCTCCATGGTCTTCTTCAAGTGGTTCTGCGTGTGTCTCGTCAGCTCCGTATATACTGTATGAAAGAAGCGATGCCACTCACGCGTCTTGAGTTGCAGCCCGAACATGTAGTCGAAGGCGGCTTTCATAATCTCGGAAAGACCCATCATTTGAGATGCTTCGTATGTAGCGTATTGCTTCAGAGAGGACGAGAGGATTTCAAGGTAGGTTGGTGAGTCCAAGCTTCGTCCTCGCACTGCGCGATTTTCTACTGCTCGAAGAAACAAAAGCCTTTGGCTAGATATCGGCGTGTAGCCTGCAGCGTTTGTGTACGGCCTCGCGTTATCCGCATGCATTGGTGCGGGTACTGACTTCTCAACAGGCCTTTGTGTATGACGAGGAGGAAATCGCGAAACATACGGCATTGGTCCTGGGCGTCAATTTAGTGGGGATATCGGAGTCAAGTCCGAGGAGTCACCGCTTCTTTGCCCAGCCCACTGCCCCTGTCATGTACCCCGGAGAACCTGCCGCGACCCAGGAACGGCCGGTACGCCTCTCTCTCGAGTGCGGCAGGTCAGCGCTGCGTCGCGCGACGTCATCGCGGCGACGCGGCGACGCCACACCTATTCTCGTCTGATCGCGTCCCTCTTAGGCGCGCGTCCACGCATCCTGGCAGAGGACGACGAGCATCGACTGACCTCGCTCGATCCAAGCTCACTCGACCCTCCCCGACGTCTTGCGCCCTCGCCCGCCATTGTGCCCGACGCCTTGCGCCCTCGCTCGCCGCCGCGCCCGACGTCCTGCTCCCTCGCTGTCGCATACGCTCGCCCGGCTCGCCTCTGGCTTTCGAACGACACCGCTCTCGCCAGGTATGGACCAGAACTCCGTGTGCTGCATTACAACGGCGCCTGCGCTGTCTAATGCAGATCTAATGCTTTGCTATTGCTTTCAGTATCTTGTCATTCATACCTCCATCGCCACGCTACCATGCAAACAAGCGCCCAACGTGCCCGCCTTCTGCCTCGTCTCCGGTGCGTATATAGCTACATGCAGCCCCCCCCCTGAGCCATCCCATCCCGTTCCCCCCGCCCACGCCGTCGTTGTCCCCAACGTCCGCAATGCGACGTCCAGGTGAGTACCAACATGCACACGAGAGCGGAAAACGGTGCTTACCTCACAACGGCACACTGCGCGACGCCGTGAACGCCCGCACGACGTCAAGCCACGCTGCAGTGGTAAGTATTCCCCCCCTCTGCGTGCGTGCTCACGTCCCTTCGGCGGCCCATTTCCTCAGGAGGGCCCCGTGTTCGCGCGACGGCGCCGGGTGCGACGGCTGCGCGGGCAAAGCAGTGAGCACATAGCGGCACACGTGAACGACGTACCAGCAAGAAAGGCGGATGGACACGGGCGCGGGCAAGGTCGCCTTCCACGTCGACCGCGCCCGCCCGTCCAATGCCATGCTGCGGCCGAGGACGCCGCACGCGGGATACACGTCCCGCGACGTTGGCGACACCATGCAGCGAGGTGGCCGTGGCAGGCGCAGGTGAGTTCGCGTCGTGCTTGTCTAATATGTCTATACTTACGTCGCCGCAGATGCTCGCAGCCCTCTGCTGCGCGCTTCCGCCGCCTTTGTCTCACACTACGCCGCCGCCCTCCGTCCTCAATGTACAAATCATACAGCAGCAGTATGTACGGCTAGACGACGCCCCCCGCATGGGCAACCCTTTCCCTCCCCATGGTGTCGTCTACGGAGAGGGCAGGTGAGTCATAGCGCACATACGAGGGCAGAGCTCGTACTTACCTCCCAAAGGCACCTCTGCGTGCGCACACGGCGACGGCGCCGCGGACGTACAAGCAACGTCGAGCGGCCCTGAAAGCGAGGTGAGTACTTGGCCGGTGACGAGTCTGAGTCGGCTCACGACATGACAGCGGCGCGTACCCACGTGTCTTCGAGACGACCGCGTGTGCGCAGGACGGCGGCAGAGCGCAGAGACTGCGCGGGCAGAGAAGTGAGCACAAGACGACACAGGTGGACGACGTACGGGGCAAGACAGCGGACACGGACACGGGCTCGGTCGCCTTCGCCAGGCTGGAGGACGGGCCAGAGGAGGCAGGGTGGGGAGCATGCGCGCACTCGGAGACACGCCCTCGCCCGTCCACCCCCAGCCCCAGCTCATAAGGGTTGCGCGCCCAGACACCTCCCACGCACGTCGCCGGCGCGCCATGTTCGGCTCCTGGCTCGCCGCCGTGTCCCCGCACGCGCGCTCCGCCGGCGCGTGCATCACGTCGCGCTCGCGCCCGCGGCGGAGGGCGCGTCCGTGCGCGCACTCCCGCCGTCCTCCTCGACAGCACCGGCACGCCGCGCTCGGGGCGGATGCTGCACCACACGACGGCCCCAGAGGCGCATTCTGTCTGTGGTCCAGCATTGTGCGCGCGACGACAGCGACACGGGGTAGGACGGCGTCGTGCGCGGCCTCGGAGGCGGCTCGCGTCCGCAGACGTGCAGTAGTGTGGGACGGCGGGGCGCGATCGCTCGTAGACGGAGACGGCGGGCATGCAAACGGAGCATGGTAGATGCTGTTTCGGGAGGTCGTGCGAGAACGCACACGCGCGCACACGTCGAGGCTGGGCGTGTTCGCTAGGCAGCCGGCGTCGATGCACGCACTCTGCATTGTGTATTACAAAATATATTTGGCTCCCGTGTCTGCGACATGTACGTGTGCGGAACGAGACGGCCTGTGCATGGAGTATCCAATTTCGCGATGCTCGGCGGAGGGTAGCACACCAAGGTGTCGGGCGGCGGAGACGGTGTTCTCGCGCACGGCGTGCGCCCTCGCTTCGCGTCCGAGATGCACAGAGTTAGTGTGGGACGGCGGCGAATCCGCACGCGAAGACAGATGGCAGAACAGTGTATCGGGCGCGCGTACGAGGGCCCGGGTTTGAGGGCACAGGGCGCGCGGGTTCAGGAAGGCGGTCGCACAATGTGTGTATCTGGCGCGGTAAAACAACATACAGTTCCAGCCCGCACTCGTCCCGCGGTGTGCGACGTCTGCGCTATGCAGTCTGCGCAGGGCAGAACGCAGTCCGTGGATCGTCTGCTGCACGCATCTCCGCCGGACATGCCATGTCGCAAGAGGCAACTCGCCTTCGCGTCCACGCGCACACCGACGTCGGCGGAGGTATGCGCAGCCGGCTAGTCTGCAAAAGAGGAAACACGACGGCGACGTCGGTGAGCACGGGCGCATCACGGCGGGGAAGGCTGGCCTACCGCCGTCAAAAGCCAAAAACTTTCCGCTCGCCGTTCGGACGCGAAGTGCACCGGCGCAGAGGCCTCGACACGACGGCCCTGCGTCCATCAGCCCGCCTTGAGTTGCGTACGAGCCGTCGCGGTCTGACGCGTCCCGCGTGCGCGCACATTCCGCATTCCGTCTGGCGTGCGTGCGTGGACTGGGCGGAGGGGGACGTCCATCTCCTCTGCGACGGTGTCCGAGTCCGTGGCTCGCTGCGCGGACCCACAAGTGACGGCGCCCCGCTTGCACGTCCTGAACGTCGCCGCACAGACGCACGAGGCGTGCCTGTTCCAGCCCCGGCGCGCACCGAGGACCTGGCACGTTCGTCGCCGTCGTTCGCATCCGCCGTGTCCGCTGCACAGAAGACGGGCACCGGCGCCAGGCGCGTCCGCCATGCCGACGCGGGGATCTACGTGACGGCGGTGAGCAGGATTGATCCGTGTGCGGGGAAGGACAGCTTGAGTGACATACCGGCGCGATGACGACGGCCTGCGGGCGGTCCCGAGCAGCGTGCGCGCACGCTGCCGCTCGCAGACGTGGTTCCGACCGGGTGGGCTCGTGCCTCCCCGAGCAGATCGTCGTCCGGGATCTCCGTCGTCGACGGGGCGGCCGTGGAGGGAGATTGCGTTGACCGCCGGTCTGCGGGTGTCTTGCGGGGCGGCGGGGGCTTTTGCATCGCGGAGATGTTGTGCGGTACGACATGGAGGAAACACTTCGATTGCCCTGAGGGTTGTGCTGCATGCGCACCACCGAGTCCGCGATGTCGAGCGTGGGTGGTAATTTCGCGTGCGTAGCGAGCCGAGTTGCATGACGTGGGACGAGCGAGGCGATGGCGGCATGCAGCAGCCTGAGCGCGGAGTCAGCTTGTCGACGACGCGAGCTCCAGCATAGCTCGTCAAGTCTTCATGGCATCGTCAGGTGCAATGCGCCGGCGCTGCGCAGAGTGTACGTATGAGAACGCGCGGCGGAAGTCGCACTCGTACCTACTCACCCGACATTCGAAAAAGGGCGCTCCGCTTCGTCCCTGGCGCGGTGCAGAACGTGGTCAACCGCGCTTAGAAATAAGCCTTCTGTGCCTACTGAGAATGCCGTGTTCAAGCGCACACCGAGCCATGTGCTGCACGCTCGCGATCCTCGCCTCGTGCGCCCTATTCGGCCGGCGGTGTGCATCTGTACATCAGGAATGTGAGGGCGCCGATATGGGAAAAAGGACTGGACGAACCTGACCGCGAACCCCACTAGCAGCCGATGTCGAAGCACAGAAGCATGTTAGCCGGTCTGGCAAGGATGGAAAAGCGTAGCAAATATTGACGTGTTTCCGTGTTGCACACCCGCGGATGCGAAAACGAAAGGCGGGGCAGCACGTGCCGTAGCCCGCCGGCGGAGGAGTGGACATTTGCGTCGCGCACTGCAGACTGTACGATACGAGCTTGAGAGGGGTTATTCTGCGCGATGAGCTCGAGTGATGCGTCGCCGCGGCCGGGCGCGAGCCGTTCAGTTCACGATGTCGAAGAAATAGCGAACCGAGCTGTGCGAATCATAGTACCGTTGCGCCGGCACGAGAAGCTTATCGCCGTGTCCGAGCCCTTTCAGGTCAGCAGCGCGAGCTCCTGCGTAGCTCGCAAACTGCACTATATTCTTGTGATCAGTACGGCTGCGCGGGACGTGCAGACAAGGACGTGCGTGCGGAAGAATGCGTACCTACTCGCGGGATGTGCTTCTGCTCGCTATGGGGGCGCTCCGCTTGATGCCGCGTGGGGTGTGGTCAACTGCACATGGAATTTGATGTACCAGACCGAGCGTGAGCGCCGTCTTCGAGCGCGCAGAGAGCCATGTTCTACGAGCTTGAGATCCTCGCGATCCTTGCCTAACTCTGAATTGAGGCACGAGAGCATGTCAGCCGCTTTGGGAAAAGACAGCAATGCATGGGCGTACCAGCGTACCTTCAGAATACACAGGGCGCACGCAAGGAGGGCAAACGGCCCCAGCCTGTGTGCTCCAAGAGGAGTCCCTCCCGGTGTGCACACTAACCTATTTTGCGGGGCGGCGATGGTGTATCGGGATCGAATGGCTCGGGCGGACCAGTCAAAACTCTACCAATGCAAGCCGCGCCGCGTCGGCATGGGTACTACCATTTATGGCGGTATCCTGCGCGAAGAAATCAGCATTGGTTGACAAATATCCGCGGACTCGGAGGAAACCCAGTAACTGAAATGCTCACCGTTCGCTCCCAGCGGTTGTCCGCCATCTCATAAGCCGTCTGCCTCGTCAACAACCCTTGGCGACACCATGCGACCCTCTCCCGTGCTCGACGATATCTCTCCATCCCATTTCTCGCGCACGCCTGCACACGAACCTCCCAGTGACGTCTTATGCAATATCGAAGTTAGTACTACCTGTTTCGCATCAGACGATCCCGTATCCATCCGAGAAGTCCTCCGGCTCCGCCTCCACATGCATCTTGCGCTACATATTCGTCAGTAATTTGTCCGTGTAGTGTCCCATGTGCAGCTGCTAACGCTACGCGCAGGAGAGCTCATCGGTTCTCAAAGCATCGGACGCGGCTCCCAGCCACTGCGGGCACATGCGACGCATGTCGAAGATGCCCTGCCTTCCCAACGCGAAGAGCTTGGAGCGCCACCCACTTCCGCAAGGCGAGGTAAAGCGCAAGCTGCACGCTCTGGACTCGGACGACACGGGGGGCGCCGAGGAGGACGCAGCAGGGGTCGGAAGGAACGAGCTCGTGGTGAGCCTATCTCCGAGCGTGAGTGTGAGTTCCTGCCGGCAATGACGGCTGATGCACCGAGCTTCTGCGCTCACCTTACACCCAATTTGCGGCGTGCAGCCTCGCTGTGACAGGAGCCGTGGTGGATACAACGGAGATCGGCGAGGAGATCGGTGGAGGCGGCCAGCGAGAAAGCGTGGGAGCTAGGGGCCGGAGGACGCGGTGTAGCAGGTCTGGATGTTCTTGTGCGACATGCATATCGCGTACCTAGATACAGCAAAGCCGTTTCTTGATCTGAGTCGCCGGGAGGTCCTCTGTCGGTCGGCGCTCGGGCCCAGGGTGGTGGTCGAGACGAAAGCGCGGACGGCGCTTCGAACGACACCGCCTGCCTGTTTTGGTAGATCGAATCGCTCACTCGGCGTCTGCATGCGACGCTTCCTTGCCTCCTGCCACCATGTCGCTCTAGCCCGGTCGACATCCCTGGTCGCAGACTCGCACGTCTGTTTTGTAATCCTCGTCTCCTTCAGACTATGACTCGCTGATGGCCGAAATAGCAACAGTTGTCGGCTGGAATGTCAACGGCGCTGCGTGCCTCCGAGTCTGAGCCCCGTGCGGCCCTGAAGACGCAGGCATTGACCCGATCTGGTACGTGAGAACCGTTTAAATTCCTCGCGAAGCGCACATCTGCGCCAATAAACTCGGAATCGGGATTCTCCCGCCATGGAAGGAGCACCCTGGCTACGCTCTCTTAGTGTGCTACGCCTCGCGTGTGATTTTAGCATGTCTTCGCGGTCAGGGACGCCTGTGACGTGTGTGCCCACGGTGACTGTATTCTGCACGCGTGTGGAGAGGGTCGGTACAGGGCTGATATCGATGCTCGGATTAGGCTGACTGCTGCCCGATCGCAGGAATTGTCCGTTGATGTACAGGGCTGCGGGCTGCGCGAGCGCCAGGCGAACGCCGTTCTCGGCTCCTTAAAGAGAAGTACTGCAGGCGGAGACTCCGTCCCCCTCGAGTCGTTTGCGGCTATTTGCCCCGCGTCCGCTCTGCACACGCTGTCTGCCTTCGCTCCCCGCTCCCCGCTGCCCTCAACCCCTCTTCCTCCTCCGCTTCCCTCCGCTTGTGTACGGTCCCGGAAAGCCCCAGACGACCCACTGCTCATCGACCCAATCACACACGTCGACAAGAACGTCCGCGACACGTCATAAACCAGCGGAAGACTTGAGGTAAGCCATTACAATCTTTTTTGTTTATGCAGCCCGTTGCACCGGCGTACTGGGGCGCTCGCATAGCACACGCACGGTGGCGAGTGCGGACGTGATGCCAGGTCGCGTTCTGCGAGCAGCGCGCCCGAGGACGGGGAGAGGGTCCGAGTGCTGATTTGTTGTATCGCGTGCGCTGTGTGCGTGGAATATGACGGGCTCGCGACTCGAAGGTGCCCGACTGTGCTGATGAGCCCGATGTGTTGTCCACACTCGAGAGCCAGCCGATGACGGCTCAGTTTGGTCAAGGGGCCGTTCCCCATGACCCTGGGGATGTCCGTACACGGACACGAGGTCCCGTGAGACCGAGTCAGACATGCCGAGTGCTACGCATCCTTCGGGAGGTGTGTGGGCGGGACCTCGCTCCCGTAAAAATGTGTCCGCGCACGGTTCCGAAAAGTCACGGCGGGCAGGTCTTTGACTTTTGGGGACTCGTCCGAGAGCTGGGAATTTGTGTACGTCCACCACTTCTTTATGCATTCTTCCTAAGTTGGCTGATACAATATATCGCGGGCAGGCTCGAACGAGCCGGCGGCGGCGTTGGGGACACGTTCTGCGTGGCGGCAAGGCACGGATGCTACATCCGAGTCATCTCGGCGCGTCCAGCGTTCTTCGCAAGAAGTGTGCGCCGCCGCAAAGTAGCTCACGGGTGTGCAGAACATCCACGGTATGTCGTGACGTCCCGACTCCCGCATGCGTCAGACCTTACTGACATTACTCGGTTGTGGCAGCAGCGCCGTCCTGTTCGGTGACCGTGCGCGATCGGCCATGCTTGAAGCGCGCCCGAACGTGCCGCGGACACTCACATCGGCCGGCGCACGACTTCTCCCCGCTCCGGACAGCTGCTACGGACGAAGTGCGCGTACTCGATGAGTTGGCCCTCTTCTGTAAGTCCTGCCGATGTACATATGGCGACCGGAAGTTTGCTGACACGATAGAAGGCAGATTTGTGTGCGTTCCAGGGTGGGAGTGGTGCACGCGGCGGCGAGGGCCAATCGCGCACTCGGCGTGTCCCGTCGCGCGATCGGCCGTGCAGGCGGCGTGCAGGTGCGTTGCGACGCTCTGGGTGTGGTTAATACGGCTGCGCTGATCTGTAACGGCCGTATCCTGTTTTTCTTTTTGCTTGTACGATGCCAAGTGTGCGGCTGGACGCACTTGGAATACGCTCGAAACTCGGTACGCACCCTGCGCGCGGCTGCACGGCTGCTCTCGGACGTGTGCAGACGAAGAGTGTGCGCTGCATGCGTCTATGTAGGCCATCTCATCTGTAGTGTTGCCTATATTTCCTGTGCATATCTAGGTACCTGTACCCGCGACGTTTGCCCGCCCCGTCTCTGAGCAGGCTGCTCTCGTCTCGTCTGTATCGTCCTGGCAGAACACAATATATATGCTGTATACACGACCCGCCTACAACCCGCAATCCACGATCTACAACCCATAACCTGCAGCCCACGACCTACGACCCGCAACCCACAGCCCACGACCTACAACCTGCAACCTATAGCCCACGATCTACAACCCATAACCTGCAGCCCACGACCTACGACCCGCAACCCACAGCCC